TCCACCTGTCCTCTCATGTCTTCTCCACCTGTCCCCTCTTGTCCTCTCCACCTGTCTCCTCTTGTCCTCTCCACCTGTCTCCTCCTGTCCTCTCCACCTGTCCCCTCCTGTCTTCTCCATCCGTCTTGTCCACCTGTCCTCTCCACCTGTCCCCTCTTGTCCTCTCCACCTGTCTCCTCCTGGTGGGACCCTCTCTGTCCTCAGTCTGTCCCTCAGATCGTCTCAAACGGGTCGGCGCTGCAGAATTCAGCTGCACTTTTTAAAGGGCGAGTCCGGCCATCTTGACCCGTTCACAGTCTGACAGTTTAATGTTGTGGACCAGAACCAGGTTTTCCCCTCCAACAAACAGGTTTTTATAAAACTGAACCGGTTTCGAGACACTCTGACCTGCACGGTCCAGACCATTTGGACTTATGTTACTCCGTTCCAACACGAGGACGGGTTCTGTGGCTGGTTCTGAGCAGAACTTCCTGCAGCGCTTCATGAAGCTTCAGCCTGAAGACGTTTGAAACGTTTGGATTCTTCCTTCTTGGTGTTTCTCCTTCATGGATCTTCACGGCTGCAGAACCTTCAGTTCTGAGGCCGAGACGGGTCTTGGGTCCAGCTGGAGGTGGATGATCTCCCATCATGCCTCACTGCACGCCTCCTCCTGGTTCTGGTCTTGAAATGACCGTTTTCTCTCAGCGTCAGATATTTGTGGAGAACTTCTGTGACCTTCTGAACCTCTTGTTGTCTCTTCAGAACCGATGGCAGGCGCTGGTCTCTGGCCTCGCTGCCGTCCTCTGGATACGGAACCAACACGCCCAGCTCCACGGTGTCGGTAAGTTTCTGGATTTATTCTTCTGAACTAAATGTTTTTAGTTTGAACAACCAGAAGAACCAGAGACTTCTGCTCCGGATGACCTCCTCCGCTCAGAGGTTCTGTCGGCAGAACCGGGCTCAGAGGTTCTGTCTGCGGAGCCGGGCCCAGTGGTTCTGTCTGCGGAGCCGGGCCCAGCCGTGTCCTCGGTGAAGAACATTTCAGATCTTTTATCACCTGAAGATGGAAACAGGAAGTGCGTGAGATGAGCCGAAGATGTTTTTGAAACAAAAACAAGAAGAGTTCAGATCAAACTCCTCCCTGAAAACTGAAAACTAGAGTTAAAGAGTTTAAAGAGTTAAACAGTTTAAAGAGTTTAAAGAGTTAAAGAGTTTAAAGAGTTAAAGAGTTTAAAGAGTTAAAGAGTTAAAGAGTTTAAAGAATTAAAGAGTTTAAAGAATTAAATAGTTTAAAGAGTTTAAAGAATTAAAGAGTTTAAAGAGATTAAAGAGTTAAAAGAATTAAAGAGTTTAAAGAGTTTAAAGAATTAAAGAGTTTAAAGAATTAAAGAGTTTAAAGAGTTAAATAGTTTAAAGAGTTAAAAAGTTTAAAGAATGAAAGAGTTTAAAGAGTTTAAAGAATTAAAGAGTTTAAAGAATTAAAGAGTTTAAAG